CTTTCCACTGAAAGTTATCACAGCTTTCCCAATGAATAACTTCAAGAGGAGGTTTAATGACCACGTGCTCAATCATATATTTCACTCTCTTCCTTGAATTATTTACACCTGTTACATGTCTCGCAACTTGTTTAACGTTAACACTATTATTATCACTTTATACCACTAGACTATTCCTATAAATTTCACTTACTGTCACTGATGTATAACTGCAATCCCACACTTTCGACTCCTCATACTATCCGCGTGGATAATTAATCATATTACTAATACGCTTCTCCTGACCATCGTCCTCTCTTAATTGTTCCACATTTAACTTTCCTCATTTGCCATTTTTGCACTGAAGTCAACCAATATCCTAACTGTTAGCTGATAGCTGCTTGTTCCAGAAACCTTACTACCGTGAGACAAATAGGATTACTCAGATTTAAAGACACATAAATCCGTAAATAATTAACAAACTCAGTAAGAATAGTTCAGTCGGTTAGCTAGGCTACACCCACATCATTGAACTCTTTCAGAAACTTGGAAACTTACTGATATAACAACAAATGGGCACGAAGAAATCCTCAATTTTATAATAGCTCATTACAAAAATATTGGGTCTTGTATATTACTGATGTTGCGACTTTAAGGCCGGCTAATTATCACGTGATTTATTTGCGAATCGAAATGAAACTTATACATTCTTAGTACAGTAAATCTTGTATTAATAATATTTAGATCAAAATGAAGCATATAATAAGAATATAGACATACATAATCTAGTTACTGAATAGTTATAAATAAGAATACATATAATATTAGTCCATTAATAGTTTTCAGAAGTTGCCTGTAATTTAATCTTTACTAGGATATAACAAGTGATAGGAAGTATTATCCATAAGTGATTCGCACTTCCAAAGCTCGTGTCTTTACTCAAAAAGGTACCATTTTTGACCAAAAGAATCTGTCTCGAGCTTAACGTTCAGTAAACTACTTTTCTTTTTTAGTTTTATCCAAATTAATAGTTAACCATTGATTTGCTCCAGCCTACTGTTCCAAGTTTTAGTGTTTTTCATGTCACAAGGATAATTTCAGTTTATCTTAGGTTTTTACACAACCATTTTTTATCCGTTTCACCCTTCTTGGATATACTATTGTTTTTAACAGTCATGAATATTTGCTGGAATGTGTTAAGAAATTTATATTTCACCACGGTCACTACGAAAATACTTAAGCCACCTGGACGCCACCCGTGGTATGCAGTGGGGCCACCATAACATCGACGGTATTAGAATCTCTCCAAATATAGCTGTGGTCCTCAAAACGTCCACTGTAGGTGACTGGACTCTAATCAATAGGGTTAAACGGAGTCGAAAGTCACCTTCAAAAACACTGAATAGCCTAGGTCCTGTAAGAAAATCAGCTAATGAATCGGCCGTTCAATCTACTCCTAAGATTATCTAACCAGTCCACAAAAAACACAGAAATCCAAACAGCGACCCGACTGCCAAATAAAAATGACCCCAATGTCAACGTACCCGAAAATCTGCTCGACAGGACAAGCTCAACCCATCGCGATTGTCATATCGTAGAACTAGAGGTAACTTCATTAGTTTCCAGATTACCTAGTGATAAATTTTCATTTGATGTGCTCTCGTTTTTCTGTCTTCCAAAACAGAAAATTTACGAACACACTCTAAAAACGTTCACATGTAAAGAACAAATTAATTCTCAACCGACCATCAACTTTTCCATTGAATTATCAACGAGTGGAATTCACTTCCTCAACTCGGTTGCTAAATGGAATTCATGTGCACCCGGACAGGCCACATGACGCCAGGATCAAGCACAAAGGCAAATTCTAATTGTGGATTGTCTTGATCATAAAAAAGCGTGTAAAGAACAGGGCCTACCAACTCGGAAAACTTTATATAGGTAGGCTACCTGTCCATCCACGTAAGGATCATACAGATTAACAAGAAGAAGCTTACGCGTTTCAAATTGAAAGCGTAACCTGCTTATACATGAACGCCGCGAGTCTACCAAATAAAACGGATGAGCTACGTGAGCTTAACAATGCTGGTAAGGTTCACCTGATAGGAACATCTGTAACTCGGTTTACGGATCAGGAGCTAGCAATACCTGGGATGTTTTTATTTCGCAATGACAGAAAAACAGGAATTGGGGGTGGAGTAGCCCCATATATAGGATCCTGCCTGGAGGTACACCAAATTCACAACCAAGAGTTTATCAATCTTGATGATACCGTATGGTGCTCAGTAAGAGTTTTTACCACTTCGAGATATCTAGTTGGAGTCATCTACAGGAAGCCCAGTGCTGACACTGAGCATGACAGTCGTATGCTGGAATGATTATCCCGCTCGATGCGTCTCAGATTCACTCACATCCTGATTCTAGAGGACTACAATCTCCCTAGAGTCAATTTCGCAGAACATACGTATATTGGAGGTGAAAACTCAACTGAAGCTCGGTTTTTCAACCTCAATGAGAATTCGAGATTATATGAAAATGTGAAGTCGGCAACTCATTGTAGAAACAGTTAGATACCGTCGCGCTTAGACTCGGTATTTCAAACGAAGTATTTCTAGTTGACAACCTCTCAATCCTGGCTCCCCTGGGGGAAAACGATCACGCCGTTATAGCCTTTAGTTTTGTCAGCAAAACTGAGCTAAGATATCCCAACATCAACAGGCGCTGGAATTTCAAACGGTTGAATGCGTCAGCTCTACAGGACTATCTACATCAGGTGCATTGAAATGTTCACCCTCAACTTGATGTGGATGCTCATTGGAACTTCCTATTACACACGCTCTCATGTGCTACAAAGCAGTCAGTTCCTCAAACGGTCCCCAATAGCTACAAGCAACCTACAATCATCAAGAAACGCACTCTTCATTTGCTAAGCCGCAAAAAGTACTTTTGGGCAGAATACAAACGAACTGACAACAACGGCGCGTACAGGCAATACAAACATATGAGGAACATATGTACGAAGGCTTTGAGAGAAGACAGGCTTCAGAGCCAGATAAGGCTTATGTCTACAATCCCAAAAGCTTATTCCGTTATGCAACCTCTCTTCGTCAAGACAAAACCAGTGTCTCCCAACTGCTAGGTCCCGATGGTCCGACCAACAACGACGGTGACGCCGCCAACCTTTTGGCTGAACAATACTCCCGGACATTTCAACCGATCCTCACCAACTATACTGATGACAGCTTCGTCTGCAACTGCACAGGACTTTCAAAAGTGAACATGAGAGCTGTCTTGGTGTTACAAAAACTGCAGCACCTAAAAAAAGACACTTTTCCTGGCCCAGATATGGTTCATTCTACTATGCTAAGGGAAGCAGCTTCAATCCCGGTAACACCGCTTAGCGTGATGTTCTCACACTCGCTAAGCCGAGGCAAGCTACCGGAAAATTGGAAGCTGGCTCATACCACGCCGATTTTCAAAGGAGGTCAGCGCAGCTAACCTTCAAGTTACCGACCGGGGACTCTTCTCTCTAAACCTTCAAAAATCATGTAGTCCCTGATATGCGATGGTATACATGAGTATTTACTGTCCTTAAATGTCTTCCCACTCCAACAGCATGGTTTCAAGAAGGGTTACTCTTGTATAACCAACCTGCCGACTGCGGTGGACAGATGGACAAGCATCCTTTATCACAAGGGGAAGGTTGATATCATTTACCTTGATTTCTCAAAAGCTTTTGATGGGGTCAACCATATATGTCTCATCAACGAGCTCAAACTATTGGGTATAAGACCACCTCTAATTGATTGGATCATTTCATATCTGAAAAATCCAAATTTTTAAGGTCAAGGTAACTTCACTTTATCTCAGGCTATGGAACGTTCTAGTGGGGTACACCAGGGCCCAGTAATAGGACCTCTTCTCTTCTTGATTTACATAAATGATCTTCTTAGACAGGTATCGTCGGACTCATTACTTTTTGCCGATGACGTGAAAATTTGGAGAGGATATACAGGCACTTCAGGAGGATCTAACTCGACTTCAAAGTTGGAAAGACAATATCTGACTTACCCTTAACATTTCAAAGCATAAAGTAGTCCATCTACGACATGTTGCAGACCACAGTTACAACTTAAGAAAATCCTCCTCAGTAGAATCTCAAGTCAAAAAATGTCTAGGAGTCCTGGTACTCTAAGATTTGAAATTCTGCGCTAACCGTGATAAAAATGCCTTTCGAGCAAACCTTGCACTGTTAACATTGAAGCTCATTTTTGGCCAGTTTGACGGAAGGACTTTCCATATAATCCTCAGCAGTTTTATTCGTCCCCATATAGAGTACGGAAACATAGTATTTCCTCCCTCACTCCAGAAGGATAAGGATACTCTGGAGCGTATCCAACGGCGAGCCGCGAAATCAGTCAAGAGACTTAAGTTCAAACCTTATGAAGAGCACCTCCAATCACTTAATCTTTACTCATAAGAGTATAGGCGTCTTAGAGGTGACCTTCTAATGGCTTACAGAATCCTTAACACTTCTGGACATCCTCTTATACACCTACTTAAGCTTAGTCCCAATACAAACCTGAGGGGTAGCACCCAGAAATCGGAGATACAATATAGAAGAACGGATTGTAGACACAACTTCTACTCCTTAAGAGTTGTCAAATGCTGGGATTCGCTGCCAACTGAACTAGTTCAAGCGACTTACCAGGAGTCCTTTAAGAGGAAACTTGACCTATTTTTAAGGACTAAAGATAACATCCTATTACGACTTATCATTTTCTTTTTTCTCTTTTATCGTTAATATACCCAGGTTCCTGCCTGCTGGTATTGGTGGTCCACTGCTACTAGATACGTAAGCCCGTTAAGCGAAGGCTTCTTCTATTCCTTCCACAACTATTTGAACCATTTGAACGTAATTGAAACTCCATCTGTTGATTATTTCAAAATAAAGTTAGATTGATCGAGAGACCATCATTGCCATCAAACATCCTATCCCTTCCAAACTGAAACTGAGCAATATGCATTGCAGGCGCGTTAATTGTATCAAGCGCTACTAAGAGCAATGAGTATTTTGTCGAAGGTATATGATTGCTTCTCCTGTTTTGTAAACACTGACTTAGTTACTTACTACTAGTCCCTAATCTTACTTTTATGTGTTTCATACCACTCAGATAGACCATCTTATCATAGATATCTTCACTTCGGGTAGGTTTCCTAGAAATGGTTCAATCAGACTTGAATGATCTGAACTCAGGTGGATATAATACGACAGTATGACGGTCCAACCTTTTAGTTGATATCCGAATGCGTTTGATCCATATTCCCTGCGTTTATCTACTTCTGCTGCCCTTCACAACTATTTTCTGGCTTATGGTTCGACGAAGTTGTATGGTTCAAACCTAACCATTTTTATCTTCACATATCTGGATCGTCAGTTTGACACTTCAGAGCTGAACCCCTGTATTAGTTTCGTACTGATTGTGTAAGCTGCTGTAGTACAGTTTAGCTTAATTGTCGAAACATTAGAGCTTTTGGTAACAGAGATAGTAGGATTCTAGACTCTAATCGTAAAAATGACGGTTTTGACTTTATATGAATTTCGCAACATCTTAAACGCCAGGTAGCGTTGTATATCGTCCCAATTCTAAGCCTCCACGCCAAACACCTTGGTGTAGCCAAGGGTGAGAAAAGTTTGCTCACCCTCTTGAAATGCTCCCATACGGTCAAATTTTTATAGCATCTGCCAGGAAAGCTCCACTCACTGCCTTCACGCGGTAAAAGTGTTTGTGTAAGTGAAAGAACAGAAAGTAAACGGCCGGCGTTTAGACTGGTTGCATACTTTGGGTCCATCTGGCGGGTTGGTAAATCCTGGTTGCAAACCAATAGTGAACAATAACTCCAGCATCCCGAGGTGGTAACCAGCGTATGAAGCTATTTTGGTCACTGGCCACCATGGGAACACATCTAGCGTTGCTCCACTGCCTCGTGGGTCAGACCCTTGGATCAAACTCGTAGAGTGGCTCTGTAAGAAAACCACCTTCCTCGGTTTTGGCTCTAGGACAGTATACTACCCCACACATATTCGATTTTGTATGCTGTGTACTGTTTTCCGGTGCCCAGTTGTATCAGATTTTATGCAAACTAAATAAAATAGTAAATTCTAGCGTTAGTTTATTATGTTAGATATCACACCTTTGGTAGAACATAAGATCTTGAGTATCAATTTCAATTGAATTGAACTAATGTTATCAATTGATAACTACTTAGCTTTTAAAGTCATAATTTGTATCTTTAGCTGAAGCACCATTTCTTCCTGACCTATCCATCATTCAGCATACACTTGTATAAATATGGATCAACCTGAGTTTCCACGTGACATAAGTCTAGTAGGAACTAACTAACTAAGACGAAAAGCAGAGAAACTGACCGTTGTTGCTACCTTGACGTGGTGATCGGGCTTGCCTATCGTGATGAAGCAACTGAGATATACTGGCTGGAACAACCGTTCCTCAAGGTCCTACCATGCCAGACAGGTCGGTTGAAGAGCGGTAAGACTAAAAGCAACAAAACCAAGGTCCGAAGGCGAAGTCGTACTGCTGACTGTACAGAGGTGTGACAGCAGTAAGGTGTTTCCCTCGGACAACCAGCATAACAGCGATGCTGCCTTCCCAAAATGAGGGGAGGGGTTAGAAAAGGTCGACTTTAAAAATGCACACCTCGCCTTATCCCACGGATATCCGTCTCCGGCGGTAAGGTCTCAACAAGTACAGAGCTAACACAAAAATTACTCATAAAAAGGTCGTGTGTGACCGACCTCAAGCAGCTGTCCCTTGGGCACTGTGGTCACGCTCTCAGGTCACTATGATCACCTCTAATCCAATTTCCTTTTCAGGTATCTCCAGCAGAACCCTTCCACGGTGTGGGCAACCGGGAAGTGATAACCGCCCTCATACCTCTAACAGCACCCAAGACCACTGTATTCATAATCAACCTCCCTCTTCAATTCCTATTATTCCTCCTACATCGTCTTTCAAATCTAAACTCCCTCTTTCGGCTTCCTCCTCAAGTGTCACCACAGTCAACGATCCTAGTGCGCAAAACACTGTCCCAGGTCTACTGAAACCTCGCTCCAAACTACACATTGGAGCCTTCAACGTATGCACACTATGCCAAATCGGTCAGCAGGCTTCCTTGGCTGAAACTCTAGAATCTCGTACAATTGATGTATGCTGTATCTCCGAAACACGCATACAGGATCCTAGTGCGGTCATTCACTTGACCACACCTCGGCAAAACGGAGAGCCGACGAGATACACCCTCCGTGTATCTGGCGACCCGATAGATAATTCTCGTGGACTGGCAGGTGTAGGCATAGCAATAAGCATGAGGGCGGAACAAGCGCTATTAGAGTGGATCCCCGTTAATAGTCGTCTATGCGATGTTCGGCTAAACGTCTCCGTAAGAACTCGAAAGGATAGGGACACACGTCGTTGCCTTTTCGTCGCTTCTGCCTACGCTCCCACTGACTGCAGTTCGGATGAAGTGAAAGATGAATTTTACAGAAAGCTGTCTGAACCTCTTCAGAAAGCTAAACGTTCAGACATAGTACTCGTAGCAGGCGACTTTAATGCCCAGGTAGGTAGCTTAAACGAAACAGAAAAACATTTAGGTGGGTATTTTAGTATTCCGGCACAGAGAACAGATAATGGTGATCGTCTGCTGCAACTTTGCTCAGACAATCGTTTATTTTTAGCAAACACAAATTTTAAGCATAAGAAGAGACATCGTCTAACATGGCGACCCCCTGCACCAAACCAACGATGGACTCAAATAGATCATATTGCCATCAGTCATCGTTGGAGAGGGTCGATAGAAGATTGTCGCTCATTCTGGAGTACCTGCTTGGATTCCGACCATGCCCTAATACGAGCACGCATCTGCTTGCACCTCACTGGACGCAAAAGAGCCACACAAAAAAGACTCATTAGAACCGAATTGAGTAATGAGAAAGCCAAAAGTAGGTTCCAGGAACAACTGAGGTCACACTTAGGTAGTTCTGAAAACGAGACTGACCCAGATGTTGCTTGGAAAGTTATACAAGCAGCTGTGGAAACAGCAGTGACATCTACCAGTGATTTAAACCAAATGGTTACAAAAAACCAATGGATTTCGTCAAGGTCTATAGCACTGATAGATTCTCGCAAACTCATCCCATCAGGTTTTGAATACGATGAAGAGCGTAAAGAAATCAAATCTAGATTAAGCAAAAGTCTAAGGAATGATCGTGAGCAGTGGTGGGCAACGAAAGCAAAAGAGATGGAAAAGGCGGCGGCTATAAAGAACACAAGACAACTCTACAGACTAATAAAAGAAACTGGAATTAAAAAGTCAAGTGTAAGTCGGAAAAAGACGACACCCATCAGCTCCCAGTCCAGACGTTTAGAACGATGGGCGGAACACTTCAAGGAGCAGTTTAGATGGCCTTCAGCTGCTCTACATTTACCTTCTATTCCCAGACAATGTGAATGGAACATTGAAGTAGGTCCCCCAACTCTAGCTGAAGTTCAAAAGGATATAGCTAATCTGAAACGAGGAAGGGCAGCTGGTCCAGATGGATTGGCTCCAGAGGTCTTTAAGGATGGTGGTCTAGTTTTAGCGATTAGGTTGACTAATATTTTAGCTAAAATGTGGGAGTTAGACGTTATCCCATCTAACTGGTCACAATCACTTATCGTCCCAATATTTAAGAAAGGGTCAAAATCATCCTGTGACAACCACAGAGGGATTAGTTTGACTAATATAGTATGTAAAATACTAGCCTCGATAATTTTCGGACGCCTAACTAAGACTCGTGAACTGCAAACACGTGAAAATCAGGCTGGCTTCAGACCTGGTCGTGGATGCATCGACCTCATATTCACCATTCTTCAAGTTCTAGAACACAGGCATACTTATCGGCGTCCGACAATGGTGGTCTTCCTTGACTTAAAAGCAGCGTTTAACTCTGTTGACCGAGAGGTTCTGTGGCAGTGTCTGTCATTGAAAGGCGTACCTTAGAAGTACATAAACCTTGTGAAGGCTCTTTACTCGAACACTACTAGTCGAGTCAGAGCTTATGGCAAACTGTCATCTGCTTTCGCAACCTCAAGTGGCGTCCGCCAAGGCTGTCCACTTTCTCCATTTTTGTTTAACTTCATCATAGATCTACTGATGGAAATAACGCTCTCATCGACTGAATTCTAGGGCATCGATCTCCTACCAGGAGGTCCACTTATTGACTTAGAATACGCAGATGATATAGTCCTGTTTGGTGAAGACGCTGATGAAATGCAGAGTCTTTTGGTAGCACTGAGCAACAATGCCAGAATGTTTGGGATGCGCTTCTCTCCCTCCAAATGCAAGTTGTTGCTTGAGGAATGGTCTGCGTCAACACCTGAACTAAGGATAGGGGGTGAAGTAATCGAACGCGTTGACAACTTCACTTATCTTGGAAGTCTGATCAGCCCTAATGGGTTGGTGTCTGACGAAATCTCAGCACGGATTCGAAAAGCTCGTTTGGCCTTTGCCAACTTACGTCATCTATGGCGAAGGCGAGATATCCGTCTATCAATTAAGGGACGAGTATACTGCGCGGCAGTTCGTTCCGTTCTACTATACGGCTGCGAAACATGGCCTTTAAGAGTAGACGATATTCGTAAGTTACTAGTATTTGACCACAGATGCCTTAGAAATATTGCGGGTATCTGCTGGGATCACCGGGTAAGTAATAGTGAGGTTAGACGTGTAGGGTATTAGGGAATGATGGTAAATCAGTTGATGAGGTTATGAATCTTGATCGACTGAGATGGTTGTGCCACGTGCTGCGTATGCCTGAACACCGATTACCAAGGCGCGCAATGCTAACTGGTGTTGGGGACAATTGGAAGAAAGTTAGGGGCGGCCAAACCAAAACGCGGCATCAGTGCTTGAAGTCACTAACTTCTGGTCTGAGCCATGTTGGTAGATGCAGACTGCCTGGTTGGACTCCGCGTGACTATCGTAACCAATGCTTGGAGACTCTTGGTGACATGGCTCAGAATCGATCACAATGGCGTCGGTGTATACGCTCTCTGTCTTCCTTTAAACTAAGAGATTTAAATCGCTTCATATCTTCCTTTCTACGAACTAATTCTTTCTTCCTGTACTATCTCCTTATATGCAATCTTTCTTCTATATATTACCACCACTGAATTAACTACTTTTATGAATCCGGTGTTCATCTTGTTGTGCTAATGCGGTATGGCAACTTGGACCGATGCATATACGTGCCTGGTCCTACGTGGCAGCTGACTGACTGAAAGAAACTGAGGTAATAATAATAATGGTAATGAAAAACTAGACAGGAAATATGATTTGAAAATAATTTAGGAAATGACTAAACGAAGATAAGTACAAGGCAATGTGAAATTCAAAACTTAAGAGAATTTGAAGAGTGAATTAATCTCATGCAACCAACCTCAAGCCATTAAAAACAAGGTTTCCAACTGTAGATTATTCATCTCTGTAACGCCTACCAAACGTTCATACCTCACGATATAGTTTCGTCCATTACTAATTGACGTTTTAGACTGTTTCCATACCTTTGTATTGCTGCATAGGGCCAATTTCAATCTATTCTTATGCTAGCAAACATTGTATGCCTGGGTAGATGGTGAACGAATGTTGATAAAAAGTTCTTCAGACATCTCAATTAACCAAAAGTCACATCTCAAGAAAAATACCTGTTTATTTATTTTTCAGGCCCCCTTAATTTCCAAGTTTGTAAAAATCACCCTGAATGATATGATTGTTGGCCGAAAACATGTTTTTGGCACTCATCTAACTCCACTATTTCATCACTTCTGCACAAATTCGGTATCAAGCTCTGATAAACAGGAGCCCATAAAGGAAAGCCTTCATACAAATATCCGTAAAAATTACAAAGGCAAGCTATATAAACAAGCTGATTTAGCAACAAGTATAGAATATTTTAATTCTGATGGTATGTCAACGATTTCCTTTCGTCCAACCTTCTTTTTAGTATTTAGAAATACCTATAAAGGAAAACCTGTATGGTTTTACTACAGACGTAACTATAAGGGACACTTTCCTTCGAGTCTAACAAGAAAAAATTGTGTTGTATGTTTAAATACTTGCTTTGCTTTTTATATGTTCCTTCATCTTCCTCCTTGTCGATGAGCACTTATTTACTGGATTTCATGATAATATCTCTAAACTGTTATAGTGGGATTTTCCTAGGTGCATAATTTCTGTTGTTACTGTCATTGTGTTTATTAACATATGTATTATGGATGATAATATTGACATATGGATTCGTGTAACGGATGTGTATTTGGTGCCCCCTTGTACCAATGTCTGTGTTTAAATAATGGGTCTGACACAACTAATATATATATATACTGGGGCCAATGTTCACCATTGGTTTGGAATCAGGGTTTTTCAACTCCTCTGGGTGGACTCTCAATGTCCACCAACCCGGTCAAAGCACCGGACATTCACTTTTCGTCCTCTCAATTCCGTTAGCAAAACACCCGCCACGAAAAGTCAGTGAGTAGGACTTCTCTGTCAGAGGCTATATACGCATGGCCATGTGAGAGAATTTCAAGAGGGAGAGCTGACTCTCCTCACTCTCGGCCGTACCAGGGCACTTGGGGGCACGCTAAACATTGCTTCAGTTCTACCCATTCGAGACTTTTTATTTCTCGTTTCCTTATAATTTGGCTTCTAACTTTTTTTTCCGATTGCTCGCAGCATTTTGGAAAATTCGTAAGCTCAAATCCATGCCCCATTTGTCGTGATGAATATTTGGTATTGAGTCATCGAGTAAGTTAGTCTGTTTCTTAAACTTTATTGAAAGCATAAACATCAACTTGTGACATGACGTTTCTTTATTTTACTTGATATGCTACTGTCATTTAGAATCACTTTGTTTACCTCGAAAACTACAAAAGTTTCAAATAAATGTGGATATGTATTCCAAATATACATTCGTTTCAAAAGATATCAAGTGTGTCCTTCAGCTAGTGATTCCCAACATTTGAATGGCCTCAGGTAGACTACTCACCTTACGATTTTCCACAATCTTCAGTATATTGTGTAGATGTTGACTCTGTCTTAGCTTGCGTAATATGCGTATCCCAAATTATCTACATTATTGAAAGTTTATAACTCTGTCCACTTATTCATCTTTCTTGTCTAGAGCTCTACGTTCAGTCTCTACATTTCTTAATAACAGCTCATAAAGGATACATACGATTGATTACCTAACATTTATTGTAGCTATCTGTCTTTCGCAAACATACCTTTTAGTCGTAGAATGCCAGAATGAACCGTTACCAAACATACCCATTGAATAATTAGCATATTAATGTATGGTCGTTCTACTTGGGATTAATAAATGTTTTCAAATATATGCATTCTCTTAATTGAAATTTAATCATTCCCTACTTCTATCTGAAATCGTTTTTGGGTCAATAGCTTTCACTTATATCTATACCAAATATTCGATCATAAGTGTTTTCAAAGCATTCTCTGCCCATAATAGAACCTTGGAGTTAACAATCCGAACATCACCCCTAAAGTAATTGATAAAGCTGACGAATGAACTAATGGAGTTGCAAATTTTTATCAATCGAAAGGGCTGGGTCATGTGCTACATATGTCCAATCATTCCCTACTTGACTGTTATGAGAGCTGGCGTAAGTGTGGCTTGGAAAGTTGGTTATAGATGGTCAAACCAAATCATGGTCTAATGTCAGTCCATATAGTTACTGACGTTTGAGTTCACGTTGTCTAGGAGTAGAAGTACACTGGCTTCGTGGTTGGAATCCGGAAGACAAATATAATCAACAATTGAAAACTTCAGGTGGTGTGGCTAAAAATTGATAGTAACATCTGTGTGGATCATCTCTAATATATCCTAGATCATTTTATGTTCAATAATCTCACCATTCTATTTGAAATCAAACATAGACGTGTTTCATGATAATGTTCTATTTATTGTGCTTGAAAGTTTACACACTTCAAGGGAGATATGTAATCCAATATAGATTTTGGATTACTGATTATCGACTGTATTAAACCAAGAAACTATACTTGGTGAAATTTCAGTGCAGCGATAAATAATTTAGCCACAATATCTCATTCATCCTAAATCTAGACATCTTGTCTACTTATTTAAAATTATACCCGAATGGTAATATTTATATTAGAGGGGTTGTAAAACGAACATTCATGAGCTCCACTTTCAGTTACAAGTGTTTACATACCAATCCACTACTTTACGTACAACAATTAAGTAGTATCTCCAACCTTCATATAACAAATGTAAGGCAATATCCAGTTCATACGTATATATTTGGTCCCTATTTTTATCTTGAAGTGAAACAATTTTCTCAATAAATGAATAAGTTTGTCATTTTTTTCGTCGTATAATATATTACAAAACTTCTAATAATAATAATAATTTATATTCTGAATATAATAATCACGGAATTCACGCCAGTTTACAGACATGATCAGTTTGATATAAATAGTAACATTAAATGTAGAGAATAAACATGTGATATAAGATTGTTTTAAGTTTTCTAGTTCAAAAGTTGTTTAGGTAGTACATTTATGACATGTATTACAGCAATGAAATACAACAGCCTGGAACTTTTAATTCTTCTTAAGTGGATATCCTGTTGATGTGTGAACGGTGCATGTAAGGTCGTTTCCTGCGCCACAACGAATTGATTATAACCGTCTACAACGAGAGAAAATAAAATGGAAGCAGGGAGCACGGAACAAAAAAGGCAATAATTACTACGATAGGCTAGTCAGATCTAGCATAATACACACGTCAGATTATTTTATAATAAACTGTTCGTGTTAGATATTATCCAAATTGGCTAAGGTTGCCAGAGACGGTGTTAGTGTATAGTAACATCTGGTAGAAAGGTTTACTTGATAGATTCAGTAATAAGAACGACTAATCCTTTAAAGTCCCTATAATCTCACTTGTGGAATCAGATACACTTACAGGTGCTAGAACAGTTAATGCATTTTCAGAGGAGCAGTAAGCATCGATGCAGCAAACAAAGGAAGGGAGCGATTTTATCTTGTGGATATATTATGGTAGATTATTCCAGAATCTGGAAAATTTACTAGCAAAGTAATTCATATAAAGAGAAGATTTGGAATGTGATTATTTCACTAGTAACAAAGAGTTACGGATGCTGTAATTAAGAGTTTCTGCATGTTGAACTACTTCATTGGATGTAAAAGATAGTTTGTTAACTATTTTGAAGAAAAAGATTAGATTTAGTATGAGTCTTCTCTTCCATAAAAGGTCGAGTCCAAGTTTCTTACATCTAAACTTATAATATAAGGTACAATCACTCCCAAGAATGCGAAGTGTAAACTGTATCCGAATAGATTCCAACCTTAATTTATCCTTTTATTTCGAAAACTGACTTCATCTTTATTGTTATTCTCAATGTCATACATTTATTATTTAATCTCGCTTATCACTTCTTTTTTTTCTAATTTAGCACATTGAACTGTTAAAGCAGTTTATCAATCCGGATACTTTAGAAATCTTTCCATTATCTAAAACTGGTAAGCGTTTCTTTACTAACGTATGTGTAATATTGTTTACTAGCCTTTCATCTGTTCAATAAGCAATCGATTATTTCTTTTTTCTGTTTTCTACAACGTAAAATGTACTTACCTATTTTGTTTCAGATAGTGACTGATAGCGAGATTCGGGACGCTCGTCTCACTGTACTCGGGATTAATCAGCTGGATGTATCTACATCCCAGTGTTAATTGTCCCAGTCAGACTCGAATCTAGTTTTTATTGCGTCTCCTACTAATTATGAACATTAACTCCGAGACGCAGATATGTTGAGTTGATGAGTTGCAGGTGGGACGAGACTCACTTCCTAAGTTCCACTGCGACCCTCTGTCTAAAAAATATAATTAGCTTGTAATTGCATGTAGTGTCGAGGGGGTCATCTCGAAGAACCGATTAAATACAGACCTAGGTGTGAGCCTGGTCCCTTAGTGGATGAAACAGTTGACTTTTAATCAGTAGTTTATACGTTCGATCCACGTTCTACCTATGTCGGTTTGGGCAGGCGGATAGCACTGTAGTGAACGAGAGCACAAGCGGGGACAATCGAATGTATTTGAACACAAAATTACATCTTAGTAAAATATGAGAACCATACAGTAAATACTTAATTTGCAAAATGTCAATCAATCGTCTCAGATTTCACTTCATTTCCACAACAATCATTCTGTTTTCGTTCTTTTTTCTTCGATCTTCCGCTGCCAGTTATTTCACTTTTGACGGATGATACATACTACTTATATCTATCATCATCAGTAGCACACACCACAGTATTAATACATGACTGGTGTATCTCAAAGCAGAGTACATAAACATGTTCGTGATATGCGAGTTATCGTCTGCTGTTCGTGTCCTGATTACAAACAATAAAGAGATACAAATCTTTACAAATAATAATAAAATGTATCAGTAAAACAAAACGTAGTCACATTTATATTCATTTGTAATGTTGTGCCTCATTTAGCTTAAATATTCGAATTCTACCAATTAAATCACCGGTTAAGAAATTACTTTGCCTACCAATGTTTAACCAAGTATCTGGTACTATACGTAATAATGCACAAACACACTCAAACTTATGAGTTGTTGCAAAATTGGATACGTTTTATGGAATGAAGTTCAATCAAATTTATACAATTATCGTGTAGAATAATGTATAAATAATTGATTTTTGTTCATGGCTGATTTAAAGCAATAATTTTCTTAATATCCAACTTATTTTAACGAATAATGTTTCTTTTTAAAAACAAGAGTCTTTCAATGTGAATCTCATAGTCTTATGAGATTGTCAATAATAACTTGTTCAAATTATGGTATAACATTTTTATGGGAAAAGAAACGATAACGTTAACTAAATTTGTTATTTCCAAGTAAATAAATTCAGCTCAGTAGTCTTGAGCAGCATTATGTAGTAATAACAGACGACAAAGCATATTTTGTACACAAAGACTTTCGATACTATCCAGTGCCTTCAACCGTCAATAAACATCGTGAAGTTCGACCTCTAGGTTCATTAGTCTAAAATATATTTACTTATAAAACTATTCAAGACTAGAGGAAGTTAAGGAATATTCATACTTTGCTGTATCACAACTAACTTATACAATCATTTCAGAAAATTGAATTACACTATCTAAAAACACGTACCTTTTTTTTGATTTTGTGGTTTAACAAACTAATCAAAATCATGTCTTATAAAAACTCAGTTTACTAGATTACATTCATTCAACTTTTATCTTTCTACTAATTTTAGGGAATTCTTGTTATTTTGTTAAGATTATAACCTGTTAACTTATCAGAATCTGTGGTTAAACAACATTAAATAATGGCATAATTTGAACTTTTTTTTATAAATGTTCAATCCTCTATCTTTACTCAGCTTTAATACGATTTTATATTTCCTTTCATTATCGATTGTTATTCATTTCCTCTAATTCTATTTTCTATGTTCAGCTTTTCACTAGCCATTGATATCACTAGTAATGTTTCTTTGACTCTGAAATTAAAGTTGCTTAACTTGACCGATACCCGTACGTTAGCTGTATCGTCATGCAACAATAGAACCACTGAACGGCTGACTTAATATTTTAGACTTTAAAAACTGTTGTTTGTATACAAAAGCTATGAGTGTCGAAACTAAAACTTGCTATCAGTCCATGAAGCCATTGAATGTGAACCTGAGCCATTTTGATATATGTAAATTAACTAGTTAGAGTCTGCTCAATTACCAGGATCAAGTGGTCAGAAACGTAGGGCGAAATACCTTAGAATCGATCACAGCACAGATACATTCACTTTTTATCTTCCTACAGATATTGAGGTCCAATATCTCTTCCTAAATATCTTTCATCTCTGTCTTTTCGAACCATACTCTAGATGCTTGGTGTTACTCATTATCATGACTACTACATTATTTTGACAACTTTTTTTTAGCATTTCTTCATCATCCTTGATTTTATAACGCGAAATATGTTTTGGTTCGTGACTAGATAGATTGCTTAAGTTATCCATATTGTAAAGATAACTTTTAATGGTTAACGTACCTAAATCTAAAACAATGAGTGAGCTAAATGCTCTCTGATTTCTTTTCCGTCTACTTCAGTTTGATGAATCACTGGGCAATATAGCAACACTGGTGGCTCTCATTGGAAGAACCATATCTAAAAGTCGACTAAGTACATGAATCGCTCCTCTGATTATGTTAATGACTTAACAAAATAAATAATGACCATTTATAATGGATAAAAATAATCGATAATTTTGGATACTTATTGTTAATCTGTTTTTATTTTCACAAATTAAACTAATTTATTCTACAATTGACTATATTTATAGGTATATGCAGACATCAGTATAAAATTTTACAACATGAAGTCGAAAAAGCGCGTGACTTAGGTAAGTTTTTTTCGAATTATTTGTGCGTGGATTGAAGGTGAAAGGAGAAGGCGGTATGAGAGACTATATGTGTTTACTTACCATTCATATAACACTTATAAGACCATTGGTATTTGTGCCATTCCTCAAAATAGTAAGAAAATGTTCGAAACACGTTTGACGAAATATAATTATCTTCATGGACTGATATCAACTAGAAAGCCATTAAAAATTGAAAGGGATTGAATAACGTTCAATTTAAATACTATTCAACAATTCGTTTTCAAAACCTGGTATATATATATATATATATATATATATATATATATATATATATATATATATATATAGTTCTATGTTCACATTCCTCAGAGTTTCGATTTAGACTAGCAACTGTTCAGTGCTGCATAGTTTACAATATTTCCCAAGTTAATATAAGTCCGTGATAACAATTACGAAAAATCACCATGAAATTAACTAAGTAAACAATATCACATTTACTCACTGCTGACTAACTTTGTAGTATAGTTCTCTCAGTTCTATTAAAAATTCATGACTTGTGTGTAGTCAGTGAAGCTGAAAAACAGAAGCACAGTGAAACTTAATTGATGACATTCAATATAGATAGTGTTATATCATAAATTAACTATATTTAAACGTGCATATCATTGGATTTTAACTTAGTTATAGTTTAAATGCATCTTCTGTTTTATCTTTTGCATGAAAGAAGATTTTGGCGGTTGTTAGATGAAATAAATATACATTATCAATTGATACAGTTACATAATAAAGATCATCGTCCTTTCTTCTAAAAAAATTAACTAATGAGCTATTTGTTTGTATTTAATCTTTTCAGGTTTAATTCAGACATGGTTGCCTTTCTACTTATATAATTACCATGATTACTATGATTATTTACCAAAGGATCAATTAAATGAATTACTTAAAATCAATAACAGCCAACTTACACATCAAGATGTTGTTATATCGTCAAATGATATTGCCTCCTTACCGTTGGATATACAAGAAATTTTAAAAGCTAATCAATCTATACCACATGCAGTGGAATTCACCATTCAATTACCAGAGATTAATGTTGATCGACCAAAGGTCAGCAAACGTTATCAAATGGAAGAAGATTATAAAGCGCTGTTGATTCGTCGAAAACGATCACGTTCATTTATTTTAAATTGAAACAAAATCAATAATGATGATAACATATTTCAAACTCAGGGAATAACTGTAAAGCTTGAAATATGTGTATATAGAATAAATGAATTAATAAAATGAAAGATAATACTTTTGTATCTATGTTTGTGTGTACTCGCTTATGTTTGTAGTGTGCTTGATCGATTGGTTTTCTCGTGATAGAAATTAATTTATATTCACACTTGAAATCACATATCAATCAAAGCTACTTCACTGTTGGTGTAGAAGTAGATTAGGAGAAAGCTGGCGGGACCAACCCGAAACGGTACTTCAGTTCACGGAATTACTGTCTGTTGGTTTGGGCCATGTTGGTTGATACAGACTATTTGATTGGAGTCCGTGCGTTTGCCACGCTCAGTGGCTATGGACTTCGGATGACGTGGCTGTAGATCGTCCATAATAGCGCAGGTACATTCAATCATCATCTCGATCTTGAATGACCATATTCCTATACACCTTTCCTCTGTCTTTTCGAACCACATACTTCATCTTTTATCTACTTCATCGTCGTTGCTATTATGTTATTTGGGTCTCTTTCGTTATGCATCGTGCTAATGTGGTGTGAGAACTATGACCAGGCTCTACGTTTATGATATCCGATTGATTAACAACTCTTTTAATCTTTTTCGATCTATTTTTGTTAACTAGTTTACTTTATCTTCTTAGCAAATCAAACTTCTATTATTAGCATTTTTCACTTAGTGGTTCTACTACCTTTATTATCGTTTTCAGTAGTAAATGTTCACTGGCCATGCAACAGAATACAATTTACCGTTGCCTAATAAACCATCTCTTATGCTTTCCCATATACCCCTTTATATCATAAAGTAAGATAGATTGACGATTGTCATTTAAGTTTCGTTTCAAGTTTTTTCCTATCAGCCCATCAAATGTACCAAAGTAATGGTTTTTCAGGACTATATCGCCTACTTACTCTAAGGGATTTAGAGCAATAAGGTACGAAAATGAAGTATTTTTATCAGTATATCATTGATCATGTCTACAAGTGTAGTTATTTTAACAAACTACTAATTGTATGACCTAAAGTACAACTTTCTACATACTTTCAAGGGCATCAATAAATTTGTGTATCAGTACTTCTAATACCCTTGGGTCGTTTAAGTTTAAGGATCATCGATATCACTATTGCATCCAGTTTGTGGCTGGGTGAATCAACGGAAAAAGAACCATAGCCAAAGTCTAGTTAAACTGTTTCTCAAAATATCCTACTCATTATTTCATGCTGGTTATCTCAGCAGTAGTTGGATTTTTCAGACTTTTGATTGATTTACATCGTTTTTTCTTTCTGTTTCCCCTTGTTAAATATTATCTTAGTTACGTGTACTACATAACAATCTCCTTTCTAAAGAAGGAAGTTTATATCAACGGGGAAGAAATCTATGGTGAGAATATGAATGAGATATTCCTTGATTTAGTTTTTAATGTTATTCATTGCAATCTGTCATATATTCTTCATCTAATATGGGGCCTTAAAGAAGTAGTATATAAAATTCTCCAATTTCATTAAAATCAAAATCGGATGATCAAGTTATATTTATTCTCTTGTTTTGTACGCATGAATTCTTTCCGAATTTTCAAAGTTTTTTTGGGAGGGGTTCTGTATGAAGTAGTTACTCTAGGGAATATTTCTACAAGGGATTCGACGTGTTCGCTATCTCTAGGTCTTAGAATGGTAAAGTTAACCAATCAATGATTTCTGTGATTATTCAAAATGTCATCACTGTAACTAGACATATGCACATAATACCACACATCTCTTCAAAAAAGACCCAATCAACTTACGTAACTAATCAGATTCAATAAGGGGGACTTTGTAATAATGGTGTTCGTCTGTTACCCCAGAAAAACGACTAGTTTGAATATCTAAAATGTATAGTCTTAATTATGTATCAGTACATGGGTAAATTAAATGATACTTAGTATGATTGCTATCTTGGTACTTTTATTGAATCATTTTTGTAGTTTACGTAACTAGATCATTATCATCTGTCTTATACACTGATTTATTCATTGAACCAATAGATCGACTATCGAGTAGTAGTGTTAATTTGCATTTTACTTTCACAGTTTATAAGTTTGTCATAGTTTGGTGATATACTTTATAAATATTAATTGCATATATCTTGCGAAAATTGAATCATTACTGATAATAGACAATACAGTTTGGGCATCAAAATATAATATCAAGTTGTTCATATCATATAAAAGTTATTGGACATATGAAACCGGTAAGTTATAAGTTTGATTCTGGTTCCAACTATCACTTTTCGAGTAGCGAAGTAATACCAATAGTCTGCACACAAACAATGAATTTATGACATAGTACCAAGGTATAAAAGTAAGCTGTTTAATATTGGCATCTTTCGGCTCATCACGAATCTATAGCTTGGGTCTGAGAGGTAGTGCAACACAATGGCTTATCAGACATGTCTCAGAACAGAAACCAATGGTGATGCTACCGTAATTTTATTTTCCTTTCCTCATATAGGTGAAAGAAACCTATTAAATTAAAAGAATCCTTTTGGGTTGTATTTTTCTAAACTAAACTGTTTCTTCCATTATTTTTTACACACTTTACATCCTCTATCTCCTCACAATCTCATTTTCTTATTGTGTGGCTCACATTTATTTTGGTATCCCTTTGTACTGATATTGATGTTTGTAAATGAATAAATAAATAAATAAGCCTAATATACAAATACAAACTTCATACATGAATACCATAACACTCATACCTGACATGTGTCGATCAACATAGAGAACGAGTATATATCATCTTTGAGGATTGCATTCTGTCACAAATTGGTTGAAGTTGGGAATGTAAGCTATTGAATTTAGACTTACTGCTAACAGTAAGATCAAAAGGTCTTATGTTCACCCCATCATCTATCGGGTAGTAGATACGTGCTACTCAAAATGATCTTAACTACAACTGAACGTCTCTTCAATGCTTCCTAGTTTTTACTAGTTGTTCAACTGTAATCATTTCATGATCAATTTAATTACCTCTGCATTTGTGTCTTATCCCAAAAATAGTTTCACGAAGAATATTGACATTCATTTAAATTTCCTCAGGTTAACCATCAATCAAAATTTTGGCTTATCAACATATTAATTTTCCTATTCTCAACTACTCAATAATTCATTTATCCTGCATTATTTTTTTCAATCTCCCCCGTTTATCCTATCTATGTGTTGTTACGCATCAGGACATCAATTAACGAAGGTCATGGATCACTGTATTTTATAGCTCCTCAAACACGTCTACGTGTAGTTGACAATAGTCCATGGAGTAGTATTGCTCCCGCAACTCATATAAACACTGGTAAAGATCAATCAGTCAAGAAAGCTTCTAACACTGATCAAAAACTATCAAAACCAGTTAACGATACAAAAGATGTGTCCAATTTACTTTCACTAGGTTCAAAAGTACTATCAATTAAACCAGCAAAATGTATTCGTGTTTATAATAAACGAAACAAGGGAACTATAGGTAATATACATTGAAGTTATTCAACTTAATTTTTTTTTAAAGAAAGTCTTACGCCACTAACATATATATATATATATATATATATATATATATATTTCTCGAACTGTACCTTTGATGCCTAGTCTTTTCTGTTACCATTAATACTGAGCATTTACCCTGGATAATATCATCTCGCTGTGTTAATAGGATATGTCAACTTGAAATGATGTACACTCATGCCAGGTTCTTCTATGTTATCTTTGATTGACTGACTGATTGAAATTACCTAATGTCGACTCGTTTTTAGTGGTAATCATTTAAGTTTACAAAAAATTCTATTGTAATGTTTCGATTTTAACTCAGTGTTAACTAAGCATCATTAGATATAAAATTCAGTATCACCCTTAATTTCATTAATTTGTATCGATTCGAATATTCCCGTTGATGTTTAGGACTACAAGTGATCAGCCTCCTTTGGTATTTGCGCATCCTGTGCGAATTACTTCAAGTCAAAAGCATTATAGGCAGAGATGAGTCCCAAATAGAACGAAACGCGCGTCCTGGATTCCACTGCTAGCAATCATCCATCTCTGCTTATAACTTCAGCTTGGAAAACTGTTAAATTTCTGCATAATGATTATTATCTCAGAAATTATTTGATGATGTAAAATGGCTTTTATTTTAGAATTAATGTATATATCAATACTTGGTTTCTTACTGTAAGAAGAAGAAATTTTTTCATTCGTAACCGCATAATTTCGATATTTTTTCGTTTGCAAACACATTAATACACTAATTTCTTAAACCAACAAAGTTGAAGGTAAAAAGCACAGTAACTGTTTATTTATAATTTAATAATCAATCGGAAATTTCATCGTCTTGGAAACAAAATCGTAAGAACTGTAACTCAAATCTCCATTGATACTTTTAGTTGACTGACCATACTCTAAACTCTTGTATGATTAAAGTTATAAAACTTTCATCTTTCTCACCAATGCCTATATTTCATATAGAACTGAAGCTTTCAAAAATCATTCTACAAGTATTTAAATCAATTCATCTTATTAAATTTAGTTATCATTTAAGATAAACCATTAGATGACCAATCATTCAATTCATTTTTCTGGGCTAACATCTAGATTCTTTATATATATATATGGTGTTCAATTTTATTCTTTTAAATTTTCTCAAACTACATTTTCAGGTGATAAAGTATTGGTTGCTGTTAATGGAGAAATGAAAAAAGGTTGGATTGTTGGTGCCCGACTACCATCTGTTAATGGTTGGCCACGTTTTGACTCAAACAATATTGTGCTTATTGATAATGATGGCAATCCACTAGGTACACGAATACTTGTCCCAGTACCAGCGCGATTACGAAGTTTATCAGGGGATATAACGAAAATTTTGTCAATAGCTAGTTCATTTGTATGAGAAAAATAATAAATGAAATAGAAAACAATAGTGTTTTTAATTATTATTTTCTCTCCTTGTTTATCATTGTTTTAATAGAAGATTGATGCGTAATTGTGTTTCATCTTAGGTAGAGTGATCAATCATCTAACCGATTTTGTTGCAGTTAAAAGTAACTTTAAGATCTAGTCTCATAGATTTGCTTATTGTAACAACTACTTAGTCAAGTTATATTGTCCAAAAACACTCGTGTAACCCATTGTTTCACTAAGAAAGAAGATCGTTTAATGAATATTATGACTGAAAGCAGTACTAGTTCCAATTAGGAATATAAGTTTGACATATAATTGAAATTCACGCAAATAGCAGTCATTGATACTGACAGATATTCATTGAGAAAATTCATAGGATTCATCTCATGTCATCGCTGCATTTATGTTACTGTACAATATATTAGAAACGAGCGAGCAGTTGGGTAATGTGGAGTTTAGAGTACTATTACCGTAAGCAGATTCATCATTAGTGAATATAGGAAAAAAGAACCGTAACACGAAATTATCATGCTTCAGAAACATCATGGTAATTATTTAAGCAGAAGATCCGGTAATGAAATGAAAAGAATACGTATCTATATGTACTTTGTACTGCTGAATACAGAAATATTTGTTAGGGATCTCGCTTTTAATCAATCTTGTGTAAACTCAACTACAGGTTATTAATATCTCAGAACAATCAGTCCTATAAGTTGCTATTATGTGGTTTTAGTTGATGACGCAAATTATCTACGATCAACAATCAATACAGTGTGAACTACTACAACCATCATCAAAAAGGTACAAGTTTTTTTAAACAATTGTCCACGCAAAATACAATGTCCGTTGTCCGGATACCATCAGCAACAGCCTACTGTGGGAGATAGCAAACCAGCTTCGAGATGAAGTGGAAATTAGGAAAAAAATTTGGGAGTGGATAGGAAACACACTACGGAAATCACCAAACTGCATCCCGAGGCAAGCTCTAGCAACTAGGAAGAACTGCCTAGGACAGTATTGGATATAGAATGCTGGTGGTTGGCCCATGTTCCTCCACGAAGGATAACAGGCATATATGTATGTATGTTTAGTTGTTTAGCTGAATAAAGTCTTTGTGACTGAGTAACCATCCTCTGACTTGATCACATATTTCTTGTCGGAATTACTTTAAAGTAAATTATTTTGGTGTCCACACCTAATGCATAAAGGTAGATACGTCAAAACAGTAGATTCCAACTCCATGTTGTCATCATAGTTTAAAGTCAATGAAAAGTTTTTTATAAACGTTTAACTACTCATAAGTAGGTAGGGAAATTGTAATAATATTTTTGCATTGTTCATATGGTGAATAAATTATAATTTTTACATCGATTATCTGGAAAAACTAAGTTACTATGAATGTGAATAAGGATTTATTTTCCTAAAATCTAGTAAACGCCTTCATTACTTGATTGTAAAATTTTGATTAATTTGTATCCACATCCAACCGGTAATTGTTTTTGGATTTGTGAAATTGTACAATATATGAGTTGTAGATTTTGACTTTTCCAATAAATATTGGTTGTGATCATTAATCTGCATAAATTTATTATCTCAAATATAAAATGGGCATTTTATCTGATGGGTTAAATAATTCGTGTAATCTGTGTTGAAGAAGAAGAGTTGAACATTCAACTGTTGTAGTGGATTTACTTTTCTATGAATTTAGACCGAGTTAAACTATTTTATCTAAAAGATAGGTAACTCTTCCGATAAAAAATTTGCACGCGCTAGTATCGTAGTATGTCCAACTTCAAGGTATGGAAAGTAAGAAACAGCAGTTGTATATTCCCTTATATGTAGGACCACCGTGTACTATAATTCTTAAAAAATCACTAACTTTACTGAATTATATTCATAGTTTTCCAGTTGATTTCATGAAATGATCCGATCACTTGTATCCGGTCTTAAGATCTAGCTTTTTCGCAATATTAAAATGTTTGTTTAAGTGAAATGTCCAGAAAATAGTTTTCTTTTTGAGTGGTCTCATTTCTACATGAACTTATAAACCATAAAAAATAATAATAGGCGGTTGAATGTGGTAAGTAGAACATCCTGGACATAGGTTCCGTGCTATTCGGCACTCGTTAGCAGCGTCCACCTGTAATCCTAATGGAACTAGTGCGGCCTGGTGGATTCAGAGTTGTTTTTCAAGCTTCATTGTCTGAAATTTGACCATTGAGATATTCGGACTGACTGGAATATTTACAATTGATTGATCATTGAATAACGACTATTGTCTTGTTTGACTAGTTTCTTAATACTGATCTGGCTCTAGCGATTCAGCTTACTAGACAAATGGGTCACTAGTCAATGACCAATCGGTTACGAAGAATAGTTCTTACCGTTGAATAACATTATTTTCAAAATCTCATAGTTGTTCCATTCTAGTTTGTTTTTTAGAAACTTTAACAATACACAACTATTGAAATCAGAGATCAACCAGTTAAATATACATATATTCATGTATAATTCTTACTTGGAACGTTTATGTATTAACGACGTTTATTATTTAATAGACATTAAAAACGATAAATTTCTGAGAAATTCTTGAAATTCATAATCATTTTATATCAAGTAATTTGCTAAAATGACAATCATGTGTATTATTGTGAATCCGTAAAAGAACTTCATATGATAATATGCAAACGAAAGAGTACTATATAAAACCAAATATTAATATGCTAAATTGAGGTGCGGTATGCAAATAGGTAGAAAGGTAAAAGTAACACTCAAAACTAAGGTATATATATATATATATATATATTTCTCATTCTTATCTATTTCAAAATTTTCTGAGGATTCAAAAATATCCAATAAACATAGTTTATATTCTTCACCTTATTCATAACTCTATCGTTCACATATACAATACTGCAGTCACTAAGTTAGTTTTCATATACACGATTCTGTTGATTCTTCTTTTAAAATCGTAATATCTGTCGCCTCTCAGTGATGAATTATTATCATTGTATTCGCTCCTAATTGTGCAGAGCTTCTGTTGAACCTTCTTAAGTGGAAACTTACATAAATAAGTGAATTTTTAACGTGTTTTATATATTAATAAACATTTTCTTTCCAGGGACTTTTATATTAAAACAGTAAAGTGTAAGTTTCATTCTATTCAAAAAGTATCTGTCTGTGTACCATTAGTTTATAGGCTCAAACTTATTGTTCAACTAATGGAAAAAAAACGTTTTAGCACAACTGACCTAGATTTAGGACAAGCTCATTTCGTTGCATTCAGCTAATCTATTAATATGTTGTTCAAGTAAGTTTATCATTAATGTACGTATATATCTTAAAGAAATTCACCATGGTTTCACTTATGAACTAGTTTTAGGACATAAATCATGAAATTTCTGACGAGAATGTTTAACATTCATTCTAAGCGGAACAAAATCCAATCATAAAATGAGTTTTACACATTCAAAAATACATTAAATAGCCGTTTTTTGTGTTGTTGTTGTTGTTGTTTCTACACTAAACATTTTCAGATCGGTTAACATATACACAATTTAATATCTTGAAGTTCATTTACAAAAATAATTGTTACTGATGTCTATTTATTTATTAATGTTTGCTTTTTTTTCTTCTGCTTCATTCTTTTCAACTTTTCTTTATCTTAAATTCAAGACTTTTTTTGTTTTTTTCGAGATAAAAAAATCCAAACTATTTTTTTTTACCTTTAGTCGTACTGTGAATAAATCACTCATGTTTAAAAAAAATATCCTCCAAATTAGTTTTGAATGTTCTTACGGGAAAACAACATCATTATTCATCCGTGTGAAGGAAGCTCAATGAAATATGGCGTGTGTTGATTAGCTGATAAAAACACATACACATGATAATGCATTATATCTGTAATTATGTATAATGTCTATATGTCTATTGTCTATATTATTAAAAAAAGTGATTCTTGTCTGTATGTTGAACATACATACACACGAGTAACTACATACATTCAAGTACAAGAAAGAAAGACAGGATGCAATAATACCAAGTTCCGAACGTTGTGAGACATGTACATTTATACATTTACATACATATATATATGTATATATAGGGATACATAAATCAAATGTCCTCGAATTGGGTCACATTCAATGCATGCTTTTGTGAATAGATTTTTTCATAAAACAACCTAGTAATTTGACATTTAATAAATCGGACTTATATATAAGGGTTAAATCCTAAGGTTTTTCTTTTTTCAAAAAAAAAATTTCATCGTTCCTTACAGTTTTTTTCACAAAATGATTTTTACACTGTTTGTTAAGCATAAAAACGCAAAATAGATAAATAGGTTTAAGTTCCTTTTCAAAGTAAATAATTTACCAGTATAATATACAATTAAATATATAGTATAATTTTAATTTATATATTATATTATTGTAAATACAAGTCTTCTAAAATACTTTTGAAATTTCATTGAGTACCGACATATAGAGACAGTTAATTGTTCAAACATCTACATCAAATGGATAGTCCTAAACTGCTAGTCATGGTTTAAGATTTCTAATGATGACATTAATAGTAATAAAAATTGTAATTGTTATCATATATATATATATATATGTACTATAACTCTATTACTAGACTTTGATAAAGGATCTTCCTACTGAATTATAGGTAAAGTCGGTGTACAGTTTTTCTCATAAGTAATCACACTCTTATTTGGTGTTTTAAAATTTCATATTTTTATATATAAAAACTATTTTTATTTGATTGTCATATGATTTCTTTTTTATTTATTATCTATTGTCTCTCACATATACTGTATGCTATTAGTTGTAATCGTTATCACGGAGCAATAGTAGTTAGCTAATCAACTCGAAGTTTATTTTCTCAATACTAATATTAATATTCGCTTGGAAACTAATTAAAAAAAATTGTTAAACATTATTCAATCTTTTCTTCTATACAATAGGTTAATTAAGCAATATTCTTACT